GTCAGGGCTACGATAATGGTGCCAACATGAGAGGAAAGAACAGAGGAGCACAGACACAGATCTGAGAGTAAAACCCTCGAGCTTTTTTTTGTCCCATGCAGTTCTCATTCGTTGAACTTGGTGGTCAGTGATGTGGCATCAGCATCTAGTGAGGTTGCTGAATTTTTTAATGTAATTCAAAGCATCTATGTATTTTTCTCTGCATCAACTCATCGATGGCAAATTTCGAAGCGACATCTGGGAACATCCTCTCTGACACTGAAACCACTGACTGCCACACGATGGGAAAGTCGAGTGGAGGCGATAAAGCCTATCGAATACCAAATTGCAAAGATAGATGATGCCATAGTTGCCATTATGGAGGAGGACACTGAACGAGGCTGTCTTGCTTATGGAAAATTTTTTGGCCGCTGAGATCCCTGTCGGCCCCGGACCTTGGGCCTCCAACCGGCAACCTCACTAACGAAAGAGGAGAGGCTGCGAAGTCAGGGGAACAGGCCTGGCCTTGACCCAAAATGCCACGATGGAAGAGACATCACCAGTAATCAGCGGTTGTCCAAGGCATCTAGGAAAGCCACCGAACCCCCAGACATAGTGGGAAAATCCCAAACCCCAAGCGGGTCGACCCGCTCGACAAAACCCAAGGACAGGCCCAGACACTCTGAAATTGGCCCATGCTTCACCTGTGGCCGTTTTGGCTGCGTCTGCCGGGAATGTCCAAGGACAGACTGTAGCTTTGGGCAGGTCTGGATCGGCAAAGCTTGAGCCCGAAAACAACCCTCTGGTAAGCTAACGATCCCAGTGGAAGTTGATGGGGTACGGGTTTCTGCCCTCGTAGACTCAGGGTGTGGGCAGGCACTCATTCACCAGGACCTCATTCAGACTCTGGGCCTGCCAGAGGGGGTGATCCATGTTCAGTGCATTCACGGGGATGTGAAGCCCTATCCCAGTGCCCAAGTCACTGTGACAGTGAATAGTGAGACTAGAACCCTGAGCGTAGGCCCGGCTTCAAAACTAGCACACCCCAGTATCCTGGGCCATGACTGGAGGGGATTCACGGAGGTCCTACACACTGTAAGTCCTGAGTCCAACCGTCCGGAGTCAGTCATTGAAGGAGACCTCCTGGAAGGGGCAAAGGAGACACCCACTGACCCCGGCACCAGCGGTGAGGAACACCAAGATAGTGAGCTTGACACCCTGGACGAGGAGGCCACCCCCAGGCAACCCGGCAGTGAAGAGATGTGGAATTTGGGGGCCAATTTTGCCCAAGATCAATGGGAAGACCCCACGCTCAGTCAAACCTACGAACAGGTAGCCCGCGTCAACAGGAAAGTCACAGAACCTCACCGGGCAGGAAAGTACCCCCAGTTCAAGTTGATGGGTGACCACCTGTACACATTGACCATGACCCACAGACTCAAGAAATCTGGGCTCAGTTGGTGGTGCCGTCCTGCAACTCACCCATGATGTCCCTGCCACAGACATCTGAGCCATGGGAAAACAATGGCCCAAGTTTTGGCCCAGTTTTTCTGGCTGGGGGTGCACCGAGAAGTTAGAGACTTTTGTCATTCCTGTCCAGAGTGCCAGCTCGCCACCCGCAAGGAGTACCAAAGGCCTCTCTTGTCCCACTCCCATTAATGGGAAC